CGTCCTAATGAGATGTTAATGAGCTGTTAAGTCGTTGATTTGGGGTTGGAAAAGGAAGGGAAAGGGATGAAATGTGGGTAATGAGATGCTAATTTATGCTAATTAGGCACTCATTAATGCCATGGGTCAGGTTTGTGCAGTGGCGCATCCTAATGAGATGCTAATGAGCTGTTAATGGGTAATTAGGAGTTGATAACAGAAAAAAAATGGGATGAAATAAGGGAATTAGATGCTAATCAATGCTAATTAGGTTTTAATTAACGCTGTGGAAGTGTTCTGCTTCCTTGTTAATGCTAATGAGGCATTAACAAGATGTTAATGAGTCATTAGAGGTTTTTCCTGTTAATTTCTCGATGTGAATTAATTAAATATAATTAATTATTCATTAATTAATTTTTATCAGTTATTATTATAATGATTCTCATTAATTAGTTAAATACCAGTTAATTAATCATTAATTTGTGACTATTTAAGGGCTAATTAATGATTAATTAATCAGCTGGAGGAGCACAAGCAGCTCCTGCTCTGGTTCCTTAATTATTCCGGTTAATTTCTGTGGGCTAATTAGTTAAACACAGATTAATTAGTCAGTAATAAACAATTAATTAGCAATTAATTAATGACTAATTAACAATAATTAACAAAGCGGAGGAGCGCAAGCGCCGTGAGAACAAGAAGCCGCCATTGGTTACCGTGCGTTCATTAATGAACCATTTGTAATTGGTGTTTGATGACATTAACGGTTAATTAACACTAATTAACCGTTAATTAACACTAACTACCGATTAATTAACTATTAATTAATGACTAATTAACAATAATTAACAAACCGGAGAAGCGTGGGCGCCACCAGAACAAGAAGCCGCCGTTCATTACCGTCTGTTCATTAATGAACCCTGTGTAATCATGAATTAATGAGCGGCTCGCTAAGGGTTAATTAGCACTAATTACCAATTAATTAACGACTAATCAATGACTAATTAATGGTAATAAATGAGCTGGAGGAGCGCGAGCGCTGTGAGAACAAGAAGCCGCCATTGGTTACTGTGTGTTCGTTAATGAACCATTTGTAATTGGTGTTTGATGACATTAACGGTTAATTAACACTAATTAATGGTTAACTACCTCATTAACGGTTATTTAACACTAATTACCAATTAATTAATGATTAATTAATGGCTAATTAACGAACTGGAGGAGCGCAAGCATCGCGAGAACAAGAAGCCGCCATTGGTTACCATGGGTTCATTAACGAACTGTGGTTAATCCCTTATTGCTGATTGGTTTGTTAATGACTAATTAATATAATTACTGATTAATTAACGAGCTGGAGGAGCTGCGGGGGCGCTGGCGGGAGCTGGAGGAGCGCGAGCGCCGCGAGAACAAGAAGCCGCCGTTCATTACCGTAGTTAATTTCTGATTGACAAACGGCTCATTAAGGATTCATTAGTGACTAATTAACCTAATTACCGATTAATTAACGAGCTGAAGGAGCTGCGGGGGCGCTGGCGGGAGCTGGAGGAGCGCGAGCGCCGCGAGAACAAGAAGCCGTTGTTCATTACCATGGGTTCATTAACGAACTGTGGTTAATTCCTTATTGCTGATTGGTTCGTTAATGACTAATTAACCTAATTACCGATTAATTAACGAGCTGGAGGAGCTGCGGGGGCGCTGGCGGGAGCTGGAG